CAGCAAAATAAACTTTGACAAAACTRTATAGTGTTTCCAATTTCTTTCTGAACAGTGTAAGTACAGATTAAATTCACATTGACTAAGGTCAGGTCCTCGTCCTATATAGTCTAAGCGGGCTCGGTCCTATGTCGACCGCGAAGACCAGAAGAAAGTGGCTGYGAATTTGGACGGTCTCGCCTTCAGCTTTATTCCTGCCCTTACCCCAGCRTATGTCCTGTTACCTATGATGCTAAACAGAAACAGTGAAAATTGAAAATAGATAGAAATCAGCTAAATATTAATATAGTAAAACTATTATTAACATTATAAATAACCAAAATTAKCTTAGAGGTGATATAGGRCTGCGTGGTATATGCGGTAGATGGTAGAAACAGTATGAAGTTGRCCTACGGTMGAAATTTCTACTCTACCATCCTATTGTCATTACATCATCACACCTGTGTCAACAGGGCTGCGAGTGCAGAGACAACTGAGCAGGAGGAGTTTGAAATATAATGAAGAAATTCTAGCATTTTAAAACGCATATAGAGAGAGAATAAATCCTCAAAATTTCCACCTGCCGCTGTAGAAAAGTTACGTCGTGTCACGGGATCATTTCCTCCCTTCCTCTCCTCTCCTCTCGCTGCACGTCGTGCAGAGCGAAGCTTTAACAATTGTTGTTTTTCACACCCAAGTTGTCGGAGAAAATAAAAAGTTTTTTATGTATTGTTACCCACAGAGATTATTAAAAAAAAGACGTGGACGTTCGTTCAGTCGTAAATCCATCTTGCTAAWGTAAAGTCGGCTTCTGCTCTGATGATGAAGATGGGCGCGCAGCAGCTGATAAGTTCAACAGGCAGAAGCTCATTGTTTGGCATGCAGATATTAAAGCAAATATGTTGGGTTTAATTAAAATTACAGTTTTCTGCAAAATAATGCTCTAAAAATTACATTATCTTAACTTTTTCTGATAATTTTCTACAGCGAAATATACCGTTACTGTGAAGGGGTTGAATTTATACTGTGATATGAATTTGAGATCATACCGCCCAGCCCTAAGGTGATACTTGAAGAACAAAGGACCGTGCTAGCTTTTTTCCGATGATTTCATTTACAACAATATCATTGAAAAACATGTCTATGCAACAACACCACTGTAAAGGTTCAATTTTTGCGCCTCCGGATTTTCATTTAAAANGCATTAAGACCTGCAGTGTGAACGTAGCCATTGAAAAACATGTCTATGCAACAACACCACTGTAAAGGTTCAATTTTTGCGCCTCCAGATTTTCATTTAAAACTGCACTCCTGTTTTTCGCTTCGTTCATCATTACAAGCAAAACATTCTACCAGTCGGCCCGCAATGCATCTTGACTCCGACCTGTCCCTCAAACTGGGGGAAACGGAGGACGCATTTGTGGGCCACAACTGGATGACCCAGCCTTTGGCACATCGCTGTGACTTAATCGGCCTTCAAATTCGATCTTCGAAGGACACAACCCCTGAATCATCATCTTTGCATGTGTAGATCTATGGGATTACTGTTCTGCTCTCACAGTACCATTTTCAAAGTGGGTGCTGCAAAGCTATCAGCACACTAGAATAACGTTATTACCATTACTGAAGATGAAAGCTAGATTGGTTAAATGTAAAAAACAGGCAGACATTAGGATTCTGAGTTGTAATCTTATTTAACAGGTTTTGAGTTGCTCAGAAGCGTGTGTTGTAAAAGGTTTTGCCGTCTCTGTGTTTGCGCGAGTGTGTCTGAGGATATGAGGCTGCTCTGCTGTTCCTGGGCCAGCCATTAGTCACGCAGGAGTGGCTAATCTGTAATGGCTGCTGTCACAGCCCTACAGTGGCTCCTGGTGATGGGTGCATCGTGACAAATACACACACACAC